CCAGACACAAAAGACCATATATTATATGATTCTGTTTATATAAAAGATCCAGAATAGGCAAATCCACAGAGACTAAAAGTAGATTAGTAGCTGGAAGAGGCTGATATTAGGATCTGGGGGAATGGTGACTGACTGCTGATGGGCACGGGGTTTCTTTTTGGCATGATGAAAATGTTCTGGAATTAGATGGTAATTGATGTACAACTCTGTGAACATACAACAAAACTACTGAACTGTATACTTCTAAACAGTAAAGTTTAGAGTATGCAAATTAAATCTCAACAGAGCTGTTTTTTTTTTAAATCACCAGGAAAAACCAACAGCCTGACAAATCAAAGGGTTGGAACAGCACGTTCATAGCCAGAACCAGGAATAATATGGTATTTCGTCTGTGATGCAATATTTTAAAGCAGTGAAGGAAGGATAGATTAGCCAAGAAAAGGTTTGAGTACAAGGGGTTAATCATATGGGGCAAATAAAGTTAGGTTTTTAAAAAATTTTTTATTTATTTTATTTTTTAATAGAGACGGGGTTTGTCCATGTTTGTCAGGCTGGTCTCGAACTCCTGACCTCAGGTGATCTGCCCACCTTGGCCTCCCAAATTGCTGGGATTACAGGCATGAGCCACCGTGCCCAGTAAAGTTCGGTTTTAAGAAAATTCCTACCTCTTCCATCTCCTAGCTGGTGGTCTATAAAAGTCCCTTTATTTCTCAGAGCCTCTTTTTCCGTATCTGTAAAACGGGCATACTATTCCTGATCTGAACAATCTGTGCAAATATTCAGTGAGACACTGGCAGCCTGCTCTCTGGTAGCCACTCAGTCAGCAGGGTTGCTGCTTTTACAACACAGCAAGGTCCAAGTCCTAGGTTTTTGTTTTTGGTTTTTTTTTTTTGAGACAAAATCTTGCTCTGTCAACCAGGTTGGAGTGTAGTGGTGTGATCTTGGCTCACTACAACCTCCACCTCCCAGGTTCAAGTGGTTCTCCTGCCTCAGCCTCTGGAGTAGCTGGGATTACAGATGCCTGCCACCATGCCCAGCTAATTTTTGTATTTTTAGTAAAGATGGGGTTTCACCATGTTGGCCAAACTGGTCTTGAACTCCTGGCCTCAAGTGATCCACCCACCTTGGCCTCCCAAGGTGCTGGGATTACAGGTGTGAACCATTACATCCAGCCTCCTAATTTGTTCTTTAGTAACTGTATGACCTTAGGCAAATGTCTTCACCTCTCTGTGCCTCACCTTTCTCATCCCCAGCATTAGCATAACCACACCTACCCTATATTATTACTGGAAACCTTCGCCTTCCTCTTTCTTTTTTTTTAGACAGAGTCTTGCTCTGTCACCCACATGATCAGTGCAGTGGCATGATCTCGGCTCACAGCAACCTCTGCCTACCAGGATCAAGGGATTCTCTTGCCACAGCCTCCTAAGTAGCTGAGACTACAGGCGTATGCCACCATGCCCAGCAATTTTTCAAGAAAATGGGGTAATAACACCTTTCTTAGGGTTGTGGTAGAACAAGCAGTTTTTTTGTATTTTTAGCAGAGAAGGGGTTTTGCCATGTTGGCCATGCTGGACTTGAACTCCTGACCTCAGGTGATCTATCCGCCTTGGCCTTTCAAAGTGTTGGGATTAGAGGTGTGAGCTACTGCTCCCGGCCTGTTATTGGAAACTTTCAGTGACTAAAGTGATGCCCAGTGCCTGGCACATGGGAAGCCCTAAGACAGTGGCAGCTGCCTTCATAGTAGACCCTGCATTGTAGAACCACAGCATCTTAGAAAGATCTGCAGATGCAAACTCACATAATGTTGGAATCCCAAGACATCAGAACAGTAGAATCTTAGATAATACATGCTTAGAATCTTGGAATCACAGAGCCATAGAATTGTTGAAGTTTTAGAGCCAGAAGGACCACAGACCATCTGCCCCAGTGATTTGCAAGCCCATGGAAATTTTCAACTACTACTACCAATAATAACAACAAAAGCAGCATCAACAGCTAACACAGTTTAATACAGTAACTTATCTAGGTTCTACCACAACCCTAAGAAAGGTGTTATTATTACCCCATTTTCTAGATTGGGAAATAGAGACACAAGGAAAGAACTTGTATAAGTTCTTTCACAGGTAGTGAGCAGTAGAGTCAGGATCTGATCCCAGGCCAGAGTCCATGCTCAGATTCCTAAGCCCTACCAGAAATATTGATTCAGTGGTTCTGGGCTAGGACCCATGAATCTGCATTTTAAGCTGCCCAGACGACTCAGATATCAGCTAGGGCTGAGAACCACTGGTGTAACCCAGAGGTGGCAATCTGGTGATCCTCAGGCCCCAGTCAGGCTACAGCCGTATTTTTTTTTCGACCTTCATAGTGTTTTAAAACAGAGTTGGCCTAGCCCAATGGCTCATGCCTGTAATCCCAGCCCTTTGGGAAGCCAAGGTGGGTGGATTACTTGAGTCCAGGAGTTTGACATGAGCCTGGGCAACATGGTAAAACCTTGTCTCTACAAAAAATACAAAAATTAGCTAAGGGATGGGTGCAGTGGCTCACACCTGTAACCCCAGCACTTTGGGAGGCCGAGGCGGGCAGATCACCTATGTTCAGGAGTCCAAGACCAGCCTGGCCAACATGGTCAAACCCTGTCTCTACTAAAAATACAAAAAATTAGCCGGGCATGGTAACAGAAGCCTGTAATCCCAGCTACTTGGGAGGCTAAGGCACGAGAATCATTTGAGCCCGGGAGGTGGAGGTTGCAGTGTGCCAAGACCACACCATTGTACTCCATCCTAGGCAACAAGAGTGAAACTCCATCTAAAAAAAACCAAAACCAAAAACAAAAAAACCACACAAAAGTTAGCCAGGCATGGTCATGTGCACCTGTAGTCCCAGCTATTCAGTGGGCTGAGGCAGTGATGTGGGATTGGGATGATCGCTTGAGCCTGGGAGGTCGGGGCTGCAGTGAGCCTAGGTCACACCATGCACCCCAGCCTGATGACAGAATGAGACTGTCTCAGACAAATATATATTAATAAATGAAAAAACCAGAGTCAACATTTTAAAATCAGGTGATCTAAAAAATGTCTGGCTTCTTTTGAAAAATTTGGAAGATGTGGTTAGCACTATGTCCGTGTTCCCAAAGTGCAAGAATTGGGTGGAGTTGAGTGGCAGCCTCTTCCTTTAAAGATGGCATACTCTTTCCAGAGAGTACAATCCTTAAGCAGTTTGTTCCCTTTTTGAATGCTTTAGTTATTTAATTAGTAATTTGTAATCCCTGGTTTGGCCCAGCCGCTGTACTGTAATAAAAGAGAAACTGAGGCCTAGAGAAGGAAAGGGGCTCTGAGTGACACAGCAAGTCCAAGGCAGAAAAGAAGTAGACCTGTTTCCTGACTCAAAAGTCTCATAACAGTAACAACAGAGAACATTCTTTGGGCTTACTTTCTATGCATTACACACACAAGCTATGTGCTTTTCAAACATCAACGAACACTAATCACCACCCTTACTTAAGGAGGCACCATAATGAATCTCATTTTACAGATGAGAAAAACGAGGCACGGAGAAATCAAAGTCACTTGCTCAAGGTCACACACAGGAAGAAAGTACTGTACGGAGAATCATTCAACTCAACAACAGAGCCCCGAGCCTGAGTCGTCAGCTGTGATCTCAGCCTTTGGAACACTCGAGTAACAAGGCAGAAAATAAATCCTGGTTCTATAACCTTTCGACTCCACTGTTTCAGAGCTCCTGTGGATTAGGGGGGAGGCGGTGGAAGGCTCAGGCACAGATGGTGCTGACCCCACTTTCCCTGCAACATTCACAAACTCCTGATGAACCCTGAGTCCCTTGTGGCCACGACCAAGGAGGAGGGAAGAGGCAATGCCCTCACCTCCCTGTAAACTGTGGATAACTTGTGCCCTACTGGTGGGAAGGTATTCGGGAGAAACCTGGCGGGGAGCGAGGAGCGGAGTCGCTTCAGCACCAAGGACAGCTGCCGCGCTCCACGCCCCAAACCCGCTGTCTTTTTTGGGGGAGCGCTCCACCCGGCAAAGCTCCTCCAGGGTTCTCCGCCCACTGTTTCCCCAAGAGCCTGAGGAAACTCAGGCCCGTGGTCTGCTTCACCTCAGGGCAACGTCAGGACTCAAGAATTCCAGATTCCTTTTAACGACGCCTTCTCTCCTGTCTTTGCCTCTAGGTAGACGTTAAGGAGCCCTCGCAAGGGGCCCTCCGGCCAGCCTAGGGGTTTTCGCCCCATTGCACGGAGTACGCAAGCACAGGGGAGTGGGGACGGGAGAGAAAATGGGAACCAGCCCCGCGTTCCCGTTCCCTTACCCACTTCCGGGTCCAGACCTCGCGGCCCGGGGCTTTGAGTCGTCATGGCAACCGGAGAGGCCCGGGAAGCGATTGGCCACTCCCTGCCACGCCCCTATGCCACCACTTCCCCGTAGCTTAGGCAACGGAGGGGCGCTACCCTCCCTCTTCCATTCCTTCCTAGAGAGGGCTGTGTAGAAGAGGGACCCACCTCCTCTCTCGCTAATGAAACACCACCTCTACTCCCATACGCTAATTACGGAGGGAAGGAAGATGAGAGGCCATTTGTAATTACACTCGTCTGGATGTGGCTGAGCTGTCACTGAGGTAACTTCCGGTGATAACAGGAAGTGGGAGGCAGGTCGTTCAGAGAGACAATGGGATGAGGTGGAAGGGAGAAGAGGAACTAGAGAATCCTAGGAAGGAAGGATCAATCAGTAGGGGATCAGGCCACATTCTCCCAGATCTTCACTGCCTCTCTGAATCAAGCCCATTCCAAGTGGTCTGGAGTCTTTTCTATACTATTAGAGCTGACTCCCTAAGAATAATACTAACCACTGCCGTGTGGTCTTTGACTGATGAGGTTTTTATCAGCTTTGTCCCATTGAACCTCATAGTAATGCAGTGGTGTGGGAGGAATGTTTCTTCGTGAATGTCACCAGCTTTACAGTAACCCAGTCTCTGCCCCAGCTGACCTGCTTGGCTCTGTCGGGGTTCATCGTGGTTTGGGGTTGAAGGATGTTGACCACCTCAGGCTTGGTCATCGCTTGTGGGATTTCTCGGACCTTCTCGGCAATAAAGCTGTGCACAGCATTCAAGGCCTCTGCCGTGCCCTGTACTAGGCATACCCGCTCTGTGGTTCCTGTTGAGCAAGGGAGAGAGAGGGTGCACTCATCAGACAGGAATGGGGGCATTCCTGAGAGACAGGCCCCATTTAATGGAAGGGTAAAGCTGAGGTCCAGAGAGTGGACCTGACTTATCACATGGTGAGCCTGGGGGAGTGGGCATGGGCTCCCAGGCCATGATGGGTAGCTGGGAGAATGAGTGGAATCCTGTTTTAAAATCTGCATTTCATCTCCCTCCCCTAAAACAACCTCTAGGGATGGAAGAATGATGCTTAAGTGTTTTGCGATGCCCACAGCAGCCCAGGGCAGGGGAGACAGGGCTCAGCTGCCTCTTCTCAGTTCTTGCGGCTCCCCGGTTGCTTTGGCAACCATTCACTCACTACGCTCCCCTCCCCTTCTGGAAGCAGAGAGCTCAGGCCTGCAACGGTTGCCACAGTAACTGGAACCCCCTTATCGGTCTGGCTGGCCGGGTCCTCAGCCCACCCCCAGGGGGACGAGGGACGAGGCCCTGTTGTCATGGCAACCCCTGAAAGCCTGCAGCGTCGGCCTCTGGGCTTTTTGGAGAGGATGGGGAAGAGCTGGGGGATGGGGGAGGCAGAGGAGAGGCCTGAGTGACTGTCTGAGCCCACCAGATGGAGGGCTGAGGGGTGGGGGAGGGCAGGGGTGTGGACAGGGGAGAACAGGGTGGGTCAAAGACTACTCTTGAAGGAGTAGGGACCAAGGAACTGGGGAGGGAGGTGGGTGGGTGTCTTTCCTGGAGATTCTCCAGATACTGGCTATGGCTCTGTCCTGGGCATCCTTCTCATTTCTGCATGAGTGTGTTGGGTAGGGGGGGGATGGGGAAGAGAGAAACTGGGGGGTGTTGAGATATGTGTGTGGGAGAGACTCTGGGTGACACTGTGACTAGTGTGTGTCTGCGAGGCTGTTTGGTGAGTGGTGTGTGTGTGTGTGTGTGTGTGTGTATTTGGGCAGGACTGGCTAGATGATCCTAATCTGTGTTTGTAGAAGATAAAGTGCGAGACTGCCTTATAAACAGACCATGTAACACAGTGATTCCGGTGAAGATGTTTGTGTGTGCCCTTGTGTGTGGGACAGACTTTGGTGTCACTTTGATGATCAAGCTTATGTAGACTCTTTGTCAGACAGAGCTGAGTGCGCGTGAGAGTTTGAGAGAAAGAAACAAAAGAATCTCACAAAGTGGCATTGAGGCTGCACAATAAATATATACCACTTTGAGACTGGATGGCAGTGTGTGTGTGTCTGCATCTGTGTGTGTACGTGTGTTTGTGAAAGTGAAAGAGGCGGACACACTTCTGGATGTTTCTAAGACTATTTGGATGATGTGTGTGCGTGTGTATGTATAGGAGACAGGCAAAATCCTAGGATTGGTGTGTGTGAACATGAGAAGGAGAGAAAGAGACAGACAGGTAGACTCAGGTGTTGGATTGCAGGACTTTTAGGATGACTGATGTGTTTGTGTATGTGTGTGTCTGAGTGTGTGAATTAATTACAGTGAGAGACAAAGAAAACTTGACCAGTCTGTGTGAGAATGTGTATGCCTGAGTGAGCCAGGATATGTGTGATGTGTGGAGTGTGATTGTGTGTCTCTCTCTCCCTGAAGGGGATCCTGCCCCTGAGAAGGCAAAAGGTCTTGAGTGTGGTTGGGCACAGTGGCTCACGCCTGTAATCCCAGCACTTTTGGAGGCTGAGGTGGACAGATCACAAGGTCAAGAGATTGAGATCATCCTGGCCAACACGGTAAAACCCCGTCTCTACTAAAAATACAAAAATTAGCTGGGTGTGGTGGTGTGCACCTGTAGTCCCAGCTGCTCAGGAGGCTGGGGCAGGAGAATTGCTTGAACCCGGGAGGCGGAGGTTGCAGTGAGCCAAGGTCGTGCCACTGCACTCCAGCCTGGTGACAGAGCAAGATTCCATCTCAAAAAAAAAAGGGGGGGTCTTGAGTGTGTGCTGCGTGCCTGTGTGTCTGGGATACCTGGGGTGTGTGTCAGTGTCCGGTGGCACTTCAGTGCAGCACGCCGGTGCCACCACCCTGACTCCTCGACTGCCGTTTCCCAGTCTGGCAGGCCAGCCTCGCCATGTGTCTGGGCGTCACTGTCTGTGGGTCACTTGTGTAGCTGACATCCCCCACCCGCTTTGGGTCATGTTCCTCACTCTTAATACCCCGCCACCCCAGAACAATGGCTTGGTCTCAGCCAAGGGTGAGTCAGCCTGCAGTCTGCCTCCATCTGGTGTAAATAGGAAAGGGTGTGGGTTGGGGTGGGAACTGGGAGGCGGGGTAGAGAGAGGTGGATGCCCCAGGAAGAGCTGGCCGAGGGTTTGCATCTCTGTGAAGCTTCCTTCCAACTCAGAAATCTTTGACCTCCCATCCCCTTGTAGTTCTTATAAGAGGACCCACAGGGACTTTGAGGGGGGGTTCGGTTAAGCCCCAAAAGTATCTAATATTAACAGCTGACCCTTATACAACCCAAGTGTCAGGTACCATTCTAAGTACTTTTTTATTTTTATTTTTCTGAGACAAGAGTCTCGGCTCTGTCACCCAGGCTGCAGGGCAGTGGTGCAATCTCAGATCACTGCAACCTCTGCCTCCCAGTTCGAGTGATTCTCCTGCTTCAGCCTCCTGAGTAGCTGGGATTACAGGGGTGTGTGCCACCACACCCATCTAATTTTTGTATTTTTGGTATAGATGGGGTTTCACCATGTTGGCCAGGCTGGCCTCAAGTGATCCACCCATCTCGGCCTCCCAAAGTGTTGGGGTTACAGATGTGAGCCACCATGCCTAGCTAAAGCACTTTATATATATGTGTTCGCTTCATATATGAAGTAGGCAATACTTCTACTTCATATAGTCCCTGATTCCCTGCTAAGGACACTGCAGCAAGAGAGGGCTCAAGGTTTGTTCAAGTTCACTCAAATGGTAGCGAATGTTCAGGGTTTTGAACCCAGGTGTCTGGCTTCAGAGCCTGTGCATTCTGCTAAATTTGGGGTGCAGGGAGTGATCAGCTCTATGTGTGGGTCTTGGAGGGACGCATAAAATGACAACAGTTTTGTTTTCGTATTTTTGATACTAAAAAAGAACATGTATGAATGTATTAAGTAGTCACTCAAGAGTTTGGACTTTGATACAAGTATGTTATAAATCTATAAACATGTTTTTAAAAGTGTGTGTGGTGGGGCACAGTGTCTCATGCCTGCAATCCCATCACTTTGGGAAGCCGAGGTGGATGGAAGGCTTGAGCTCAGGAGTTCAAGACCCGCCTGGGCAACATAGCGAGACCCCATCTCTACAAAAAATATATATATATACAGGTCGGGCGTGGTGGCTCACCTCCCAGCACTTTGGGTGGCCAAGGTGGGTGGATCACCTGAGGTCAGGAGTTTGAGACCAGCATGGCTAACATGTCAAAACCCCGTCTCTACTAAAAATAAAAAAATTAGCCAGGCATGGTGACGGACACTGGTAATCCCAGCTACTCAGGAGGCTGAGGCAGGAAAATCGCTTGAACCCAGGAGATGGAGGTTGCAGTCAGCTGAGATTGCGCCATTGCACTTCAGCCTTGGCAATAAGAGTGAAACTCTGTCTCAAAGAACCCCCCAAAACAAAAAACAAACCCCCCAAAATTAGCCAGGCCTGGTGGTGCACACCTGTAGTTCCAGCCACTCAGGAGGCTGAGGTGGGAGAATCACCTGAGCCCAGGAGGTCGAGGTTGCAGCAAGCCACGATCATGCCACTGCACTCCAGCCTGGGCAACAGAGCACTCTGGCCTTGGTGACAGAGCAAGATCCTGTCCCAAAATAAATAAATAAAAATAAAAAGTGTGTGTGTGTCTGTGCTTTTCTTCAGCAGTTAGGGTCCAAAGCTTCATGCAGACGTTCAACATCAGAGGGCGTTTTCTATCCCTAGGCTGGCACACTGGAGTCTGTGTTGCCCTTGGCAAGGTACCTGCCTTTTTCTGCATCTTAGTTGCTCCATGTATGACCAGGATGGATTGAATCTAGGGCTTGGGGATCCATCACCAAGGAGGGGAGGCCTTCTGTGTGCTCTGCCCTTCCCTTGGGGCTAAGTGCCAGGTAGGTTTTTATTTCATGTAGTAGACACACAAGTGCAGTGTGTGTGTGTATGTGTGTGTAAGTGAATGTGTGTATAGGTGTATGTGTGTGAATGTATGTTTGTGTGGGTGTGAGAGTGTGTGTGTATGTATGAGCGTGTGTGTGTGTGTGTGAGTGGTGTGCCAATGTGTGTATGTGTGTGTGCCAGTGTGAGTGTGCGTGAGTGTCATGTGTGAGTGTGTATGTGTGAGTGCGTGTGAGTGCGTGTGTGAGGATGTGTGTGTCAAAGCGTGTGTGAATGTATGTATGTGTGCATGTGAGTGCAAGTGTGTGTGTGATGTGTGTGAATGTATGTGAAAGTGTATATGAGTGTATGTATGTGTGTGTGTGTGTGTGTGTGCGTGCACGTGCATGTAAACCTACTATGCCCAGAGCACCCTTTCAGTTTCTCCATGGTCATTTCTCACACGTCCTCTCTGCTTTGGCTACATTGCCCACACTACCTAGTGGCCTCTGAGTCTGCTGTTTTGTCTTCCTGGAGCACACTTCTCTGCACTTTGCCTCGCTCATTCTTCCTTACTGCTCCAGTCATCTCTTCTAGGGAGCTCTTCCTGATCTCTCTGGGCTGGGTCCTTTGTGCTACCTGGGCTCCAGCCACCACCACCCTCTGGACTTCCCTGTCCCAGACCTGAGCACTCTGGGTCATCACTGGTGTGAGGTCGGCCTCCCTGACTGGGATGTGAGAACTGAGGAAGCAAGGCTGGGACATTTCAGCCACTGCTACTGTCCCCATCTCTGTCCAGCACAGGGCTGGCACAGAGGAAGTACTCAGGGAATGTGTGTTGAATGAATGAATGAATGGATGGATGGATGAAAGGGTGTCAAGCCAGGAGTGGAGGGAAATGTTTTTTGTCTCCTGCAGTAGCACTTCCATTCTCTGCATTCCTGTGGGGTCCTGGGAAGTCCTGGGGACAGGGCTAGGAAGGAGGGGGCTGTGTCCTGTATCTCTGAGTCAGTTGCTGGCTCATGCTCTGTGATCTCAAGTTCCACACCAGGAGTGGGGATGGGGGCTGACTATGTGTCCAGGGGCTGAGGAGAGACACTGGTTCCTGCTGCTTGTCTGAATACTGCTTGACCTGGGAGGACCAATGTCTGTCCCACCTTCTGGGTCTCCTGGCTGCCTGTGGGGTGTGTCATTGGGTTGAGGGGACAGACAACATGTCTCATGGCACAGAGTGTGATCCAGGAGCAAGGAACCAAGTGTCCTCAGAGGGACGTTCCAAACAGAGGTCTTATCCCTATCTTGTGGGTTACAGGGGAGTGGGGAAAACTGGGCCAGAGTGGAAGAGAAAAGGAGGAGGTGTGCCTGGTTCACTCGATTTTTCTCTAAACCTCTTGCCAAAGCTGCTTAGTGAGATGGGAGGCTGGGGAGGGGGGTGCGTGGTGGAGAGAGGAGGAAAGGAGAGGGGGAGAGAGAGAGAGAGAGAGAGAGAGAGAGAGAGAGAGAGAGAGAGAATGAGCGTGTACTGACCCTGGGCTCCAGCTCTGGTGTTTGACCTAAAAAATCCAAGGGGATTAAGGATGAACTAGAACCAGCACTCGGCCAAAGATGCACTTCAGGAGGCCTTCCCTGGAGGCCTAGATGTCAAAGCTTGTTGGGCATTGGTCTTGGGAGGGGTGAGAGATTTTGGGGGGAATAGAGAGAGTGGAGGGGCCCTGGAAAATTTATGGTTGGGGGAGGAAGATAGAGCAGAGGAGAGGCAGAAAAGGGACTGGGTTTGGGGAAGGGAAAGAAAAACCAGGAGGGAGCTGAGGTTTGGGGGAAAAAAGAGGCACAGGAAGGGAGAGAGAGATGAGCAGAGGCAGAAAGAAATGGGTGACGCCAGCAGAGAAGGACCCCAGTGAGAGGGGACTAGTAGGTATTGGTTGAACGGATGACTGAACAGCGTTCAGAGAGAGGAGGAAAGAAAAAATGTGACACTGTAAGAGGTGGAGGGAAGGAAAGGATGGGGAGAGAGAAGACAAAAGGGGGAAAGAGGAGGTGAGGGGGAGGGAAAGCAGAGGACAGATGAAGAGGACAAGAAATGGGGGATATCCAAACAGAACGGGAGAGATGGACAGAGAGGCAGACAGAGGGGTAAGAGGCAGAGAGAGGCAGAGGGGAGCAAGAGATGGGCAAGTCGGAAACAGAACGAGAAGGAGACACATACAGAATGACACCGAGACAGAGAAAACCAGTGAGACTGGGCAGGAGGGGGTGACAGAAATCCGAGGGGGGGCACGTGTGTGGAACATGGCTGGCCGGGCCCCCAAGTCCCGAGGGACGCCCTGACACCTGCCTCCCTCCCCACCCTCGCTCCTCCAACTGACCAGAGGGGGCAGGTGTGTAGGAAGAGATACATCTGCCAGCCCATCATGCAAATGAGCTCATGAATATGCAGCAGGCCCATTGTCTTGCCCTGCCCCCACCCCCATCTGCTCGGCCAGGCCCCTCGGGCTGGGGGCAACTCTGTCCTCTTAGGGGGAGGGGAGGCCCCCTCCCCACCACTGTCACTGTCCCTAGGGCAGACCTTCCCACCATCTAGGGCCCAGGTGGGAGGGAGAAAGGGAGAAAGGGCGGAGAGGCCTAGGGCAGAGACCTGGGCCGAGGCTCACCGGGGTAGAAGTCTTTGGACTTGGAGAGCTTGATGGTGGCTCCTGTCTCCTTCTGCAGCTGCACGATGGTCTGCCCGCCCTTGCCAATGATGGAGCCCGCCGCGTAGCTGGGGATCAGCACCTTCAGGAAGTATTCGCCTTCCTCTGCGGGGGCACACAGGGTGGAGGGAGTCAGTGGGAGAGGGACCTCCACCTTTAGGGGAGCAGAGGACACCCTAGGGGTCACAGTAACAGTATGGAGAATAATACAAATAATGATCTTCATTCACTCATTCATTCATTCAACAAATAGTTACTGAGCACCTGCTCCATGCCTGGCACCGGTCTAGGGAAAGAGCCAAGAAGAAAATAGACAAAGCTCCCCGATTTGTGGGCAATGAGGCAAACAAGGCCGAAAGACTTTTAGTGATTCAGCCAAGAGCTCATACAGCTAGCTACATTCTTCTAGGTAGGGAAGACAGGCAGTATATTTCATGTCAAATGGTGGGACTCCTAATGACACAAAAAAAAAGGCAGAAAAAGGGGGTCAGGGAGGGTGGGAGGCTGCAGTGTCAGAGAGAGAGCCCAGGGAAGCTCTTGCTGAGAATGTGGAATGCTTTACTCATCATCACACAATTCTGCAGCACCTGACAGGCGCTACACTGTTCTAGGTACTTTCCAAATACTAGTCCTTTTAATTTTCACACTTATCCTATGAAGGAACCTGTTAGACAGATGAGGAAACAAAGGTGAAGAAATCACCCAAGGGCACTTGTAGGCAGCAGAGCTGAGAGATTTGAAGCCCACCTGGCTCCAGAGTCCATGCTCTGAACTATTATGATCACCAGGCTATGGAGGAAGGAATGGAACCACGTGGCTATGTGAAGGACAGGCAAGCGCAAAGGCCCTGGGGTGGGACAGTGCCTGGGGTGTTCCGGGGGGGTGAGGAGGACCCTGTGCCTGGGGCTGGATGAGAGAGGGGAAGAATGGGAGGAGATGGGGACAGAGAAGGGTGCTGGTAGGGAGGGGTGATGGGGCTCGCAGGCCACAGTGAGGTCCTTAACTTTTACTCCAAGTGAGATGGGAGCTATGGGAGGGATGTGACCTGACTTAGGTTTTAGGAGGAGTCCTCTGATGCCCATGAGGGGAGCAGACTATGAGAAGCAGCAGTGGGAGAGCTGGGGGCCCAGGGAGGTGGTGACTGCAATGGTCCAGGCCAAAGGTGATGGAGGTCTGACCAGTGGAAGCAGTGAGGGGGGAGGTGGAGGAAGGCCGGATGCTGGAGATGCTCCCAACACTCACTTTTGACCGGGCGCTGTGCTGAGTGCTTTGTGAGCTTGATCTTGTCCGTTCCTCACAACCTCCGGGTGAGGTGGGTAGAATGAGCTCCATTTTTACACAAGAGGAAACTGAGGTACAGAGGGGCACAGAGAAGTGAAGGCACCAGCCCACAGTCACCACCGGCCCAAGGACGCTAACACAGCTGCTGGGTTCGGACTCAAATCCAATTCTCATTCAGTCACCTCCCCTCGTTGCTTGACACCTTTCACTCCGGGAGACCAGCACGATGACGGACAGCCTCAAAAACCCAGATGCAGTACCAGTGGCGGCCTGTGGAGTTTTGGCCATTCTTTGTTATAGGCCAATTTTCCTTTTCTTTTCTTTTTTCCTGATGTGGGGTCTTGCTCTATTGCCAGGCTGGAGTGCAGTGGCATAAGCTCGACTCACTGCAGCCTCCGCCTCCTGGGTTCAAGCGATTTCCCTGCCTCAGGCCCCTGAGTAGCTGGGACTACAGGCGCCTGCCACCATACCAACCTAATTTTTGTATTTTTAGTAGAGATGGGGTTTCACTATTTTGGTCAGGCTGGTCTGGAACTCCTGATTTGAAGTGATCCACCCACCTCAGCCTTCCAAAGTGCTGGGATTACAGGCCTGAGCTACCGTGCCCAGCTGCTGTGTCCAGCTAATTTAAAAAAATGTTTTTAGCCGGGTGTGGTTGCTCACACCTGTAATCCCAGCATTTGGGAGGCCAAGGTGGGCGGATCACAAGATCAGGAGATAGAGACCATCCCCGCCAACGTGGCGAAACCCCGTCTCTACTAAAAATGCAAAAATTCGCCAGCTAGATACTTGCCTTGAGTCTACATTAACAAAATGCTTTACACATGGTCAGGAAACTGGCTTATAATAGGCAAGGCTCAGTGGCTCACACCTGTAATCCCGGCACTTTGGGAGGAGGCTGAGGCAGGAGCATCGCTTGATCCCAGGAGTTCAAGGCCAGCCTGGGCAACATAGGGAGAGCCATCTCTACTAAAAAAAATTTTATATTTTTTGCAATGGAGTCTCACTCTGTCACCAGGCTGGAGTGCAATGGCGCAATTTCAGCTCGCTGTAACCTCCACCTCCCAGGTTCAAGCAATTCTCCTGCCTCAGCCTCCTGAGTAGCTGGGATTACAGGCATGTGCCACCACACCTGGCTAATTTTTTGTATTTAGTAGAGACAGGGTCTCACCATGTTGGTCAGGCTCATCTTGAACACCTGACCTCAGGTGATCCACCTACCTCGGCCTCCCAAAGTGCTGGGATTACAGGCGTGAGCCACCGGTCTCAGTGTACTTGTTGTTCCCTAAATGTTCCCTGCTTCCTCCCACCTTAGGGCCTTGGCGCATGCTCGCTCTGTGCCTGGCAGCCTCCCTTCCCCAGTCAATTTCTTTTGTCCTTTAGGTCCCCACTGAAATGTTGCTTCTTTTTGGAAGATTTCCTTGAACCCCAAGGATGGGATGAATCCTCCTGTTTCACGCTTTCAGAGTAACTGATCACAGAGGTCCACTGTGGACCACAACCGTAGAGCTCAGCCTTGTCCCAGGGACTTGAACAGTGTCCCAGAAACTTGAACAGCACATAGTAGGTTTGCAATAAGCACTGGGAAAAGAAAGGGAGGAGTCAGGCCATCCTGCTTCCAAATCTTAAGGTCTTAAACCATCCCCCCAATGGTTTTTCAACTTTTTCTTTTAAGCAAAGGAAGACTATTTTTTCTTTCCCTTTTTTTTTTTTTTTTTTCCCTTGTCTATGGTTTTTTTTTTGAGACGGAGTCTTGCTCTTGTCACCCAGGCTGGAGTGCAATGGCGCAATCTCAGCTCACTGTAACCTCCGCTTCCTAAGTTCAAACGATTCTCCTGCCTCAGCCTCCCGAGTATCTGAGATTACAGGTGCCTGCCACCATGCCCAACTAATTTTTTTGGTGTGTTTTTAGTAGAGATGGGGTTTCACTATGTTGGCCATGCTGGTCTCGAACTCCTGTCCTCAGGTGATCTGCCCGCCTTGGCCTCCCAAAGTGCAGAGATTACAGGGGTAAGCCACAGCATGTGGGCAAGAAGCCTATTTTCAATGTCTTATGTAAAACCTCAACATACAGTGGCCAAGCATGGTGGCTCATGCCTGTAATCCTAGCACTTTGGGAGGCTAAGGTGGGTGGATCATGAGGTCAGGAGTTCAAGACCAGCCTGGCCAACATAGTGAAACCCCATCTCTACTAAAAACACAAAAATTAGCCAGGTGCGGTGGTGTATGCCTGTAGTCCCAGCTACTCAGGAGGCTGAGCCAGGAGACTCTGAACCTGGAAGGCGGAGGTTGCAGTGAGCCGAGATTTCGCCACTATATAATTTCAGCTTGTACGACAGAGTGAGACTTTGTCTCAAAACAAACAAACAAACAAAAAAAAAAAACAAAACAAAAAAAAACCTCAACATATAGAGCAGATAAAAGAGAAATGGCTCTATCCCTCCCTGATCTCTCTCTCTGTATCACTCAGGCTGGAGTGCAGTGTTGCCACCACGGCTCACTGCAGCCTCAACCTCCCGGGCTCAAGTGATCCTCCTGCTTCCGCCTCCCAAGTTCCTGGGACTACAGGCTCATGTCACCACTCCTAGGTAATTTTAAAATGTTTTGTAGAGATAGAGTTTTGCTGTGTTGCCCAGGCTGGTCTCAAATTCCTGAGCTCAAGGGATCTACCTGCCTCGGCCTCCCAAAGTGTTGGGATTATGGGCGAGAATCACTGCACCCGGCCTCCGCCTGGTCTCTTAAGACGAAAGTTCTGCATTCCCTTACGTGTTTAAGATGGGGTTGTGGGAAGAGGGGCTAGCTGTGGCTTTGCAGGCATGGGGAAGGGTCCAGAATGAAGGAGTTTGTCTGAAACCAAGGCAATCCTCTTAAACTTGCTAATCAGACCATAAGCCTATTAGGTAATTAACCCCTCTCTGGTGCCTTCTTACCAATCATCCTGACCCCTACTGAATTCATTCTCTTCCATGGATTCACGGAGATGTCCTGTTCCCCACCCTGACCCTAAACTTGTCACAGATACGGGGTCCTTTATCTCTGGAAGGCTCAGAAAGATGGGGAGGTAATTCTCACTAATCCCTAGGACTCCATCCTCTCTCTGCTTCTTCAATTTCACTCCCCATCTTCTCTCGAGCCACAGCATCTTCCCCCGCTTCCCTCTAAGGGTGGAAGGTTATCATCTTCTCTGAAGAAAACTGGTGTCACCCTCTTCCCCATTTTCTGCCCCCTCTCTTTTGTACTTCTTCAAACCGTGCCGGAGAATTTTTGTATGAAACAGCAGAAACAACCCTAGACTAGGAATGACATTCGTGCCTGGGTGTGGTGGCTCATGCCTGTAATCCCAGCACTTTGGGGGACTGAAGTGGGTGGATCACTTGAGGTCAGGAGTTCAAGACCAGCCTGGCCAACATGGTGAAACCCCGTCTCAACTAAAACTACAAAATTTAGCTGGGCGTGGTGGTGTATGCCTGTACTCCCAGGTACTTGGGAGGCTGGGGCTGGAGAATCACTTGAACCTGGGAGACAGAGGTTGCAGTGAGCCAAGATTGTGCCATTGCATTCCAGCCTGGATGACAGAGTGAAACTCTGTCTCAAAAAAAAAAAAAAAAAAGAGTGAATTTTGTCACTGATGGGCTCTATGGCCTTGGACAAGTCACCTCACCTCTTTGGGCCTCAGTTTTCCTAATCTATAAAATGGGAATCATGATAGTGCTACCTCATGGGGTTATTGTGATTAATTAAATGACAAAATATAAGGAAAGGTACTGGGGACGGTCCCAGACACACAGAGCATTTGAGAAATGTTAGCTATCATCATCAGTATT